CCTCGTCCGAGGGAACCTACCGTGCACGCTTTTTTCTAGCGTGGCTGGGGGCCCAGTTTTCCGTAGTTTTCCCCTAAACACGGGAGACGCTGGAAGGCTGCCAAAATTTCGGGTAAATGTAATTCGTACTTGGGACAATGTGGAGCTTTACTTGGACATTGATTGGAGCGTCAAATAGACTTAATTCAAACTTAAGCAGTCAATGATAACTCCAACTTGAATGAAAACGAAACAAAAGAATATCTCGAATTCAAGTGAACTAACTACACGGAACTCGAACGAAGGGAAAAGACTCATCTTAAGCCTGAACTGTATTTTGAACTTGAACTTGTGGACCTTTTGAAACAAGATTGAATTTGAACCGTGAAATGGACTCGTATTTGGATATAAAACAAATGATTAACAAATAATTAAATCTAAATGAAATAAGTTCGTGCTTGAATTTGATTGGAATGCCAAGTGAACTTTGACATTGAACTCAAACTTGTGGATTTGGAACTTGAACTTGTTATTTGAACTCGGACTTGGACTCTAGAAGACAGCAAGAACCTGATTTAAGCATCCGATGAACTTGAACTTGCATTTAAAAATCAAATGAACAAAGATCTAAACACAAGCAAAGGCCTTCCATTTAACTACGAAGACTTGAACTTGTACTTGGAACTTGAATTATAATGAAGCTTGAGTTTGGATCATAGCAATAAACTCTCAATAAGGATTAAAGAGTCGTCACTCCATTAGGAGTTGTATAATAAAAGAGGGTGATCCATTTGAATTTCATCCAAGCAAACAAACATTCACCCATGAAGTCATTACAAGCTTTGGTATAAAACTTATTTGAGCAATCATAATTAGCCTACAATGATCATCTCAAATTGAATGTCATATCTCTTGAATGAGGGGAATTATTGAACCTACAGCATTTGAACCATTACAAGGACATACATCAAGCAATAGAAGAGTTCTAATGCACATAAGGAATATCCATGAGTGAAATATGAAGAATATGTGTAGAGCTACAATTCAGGTTGCATATTATATAAAAATTGTGTCATGAATCTTCTGTTAGCATGAAATAGAAGTTTGTAGTAAACACAAGTACATATGGATCCTTGCAATAAACTTATCATGTGCACTAAAAATCATCTATGAACTACATGCAAGATGACTACAACAATTGTAAATATCCATGGGCCACTATATAAGACATGTGGTACACCCAATCCATTGTACACAAGAAAAGTACAAAGTGACTATATCAAATGCAAGCGCTTACGAGTTACAGTGGGAAACTCCTCGTGCGTACAACAAGCCATCTATAATCATTTACAAAAATAAGGTAGGGGATTAGTTAGTGCAATACAATCTACCTGTGTAAATCATGCAAGTAGTGCACGACAGTCTACCTATACGAAGCATTGAACAACTCTATTCAGAAGCTGTTACGCCACGCCACTGGATTTGCAACATCCGTACAAGCAGACAGAAGGCGTCTATAAATATTTTAAAGTACCCATGCACGTGCACTATAATTTGTATACACATAGGTACACTAGAGGGGAAAATGCAATCTTAACTCGCATGGGCCCCGACGAGCTTGTTATTGGTACACACGTAACGTGTAGGGATGTTGCGCGGGTTGACAAGTGAATTCAAGTTCGAAACCGATCCTTCTATACGGATCAATAAGAGTCGACAAGTTTTGAACCAACAAATAAATATGTGGCCGTGGCGACCAGAATATTTGTTTAAATACATTCATATGAGGCCTTTAGAGCCTAAAATTAAAAGAATTCACTAATAAAGACTCAAAGCTTATGAAACCCGATCCTCTGTCGACAGTTGATAGAGTCGACAAGGTTCAATCAAATGGAAATGACCCCGAACACCCCAATGATGGCCGTGTTGAATGCAGATCTCAACTGGAGGGGTTCCCAAATACTTTCAATTCTCCAAAAAGTCCATTTCAAATACTCCAAAGCTCTACCCCAAATACCAATAAAAATCCAAAGCTCCACTCAAAATCCTAGAAAATTCCAAAATTCCCAAAATCCAAAAAATATTTAAAAATGAAACTATCCATCTCAACGCTTAAAGCAAAGTCCATCCACCTTCCGCAACGGTCTGCCGGGGTGAACAAATTCAAATAAACTCTAGCTCACAAAGAGCCAAATGCCTAGTCGAAAAGATCTCTATGATCCATTCTCAAACCAGTCTCCTACCAGTAAGGACGTGATATGTGTATTTTAACCGGCAGTTTTGCCGCCAAATGGCACCGCAGGATAAACGGTTATGACCCGGGGCCCTCTGAACCGAGTGGTTTTGCCGTCAAATGGCACCACGAAATACCGGTTATGGCCAGCGCGTTACGCTCCTTATTGGCATTAAATCCTTGAGATATGAATCAATAGGATATGATTGATAGGGCATAAAGCTCTCTGCAAGCTAAGGTGGATTCAAATTTGCCCCCTTAGACAAACATTCAACCCCGGTCTATAAGGTCCCCTTTGACGAAGCAACCCATGGCTGCCGACAAGGATCCTTCTGTCAGGTTGGGTCGACTACCTCCTCTGACTAAGTAGACCAGGGACCACGATGGCCCGGGATGAAGAAACCATGGGATCTTGATCGGGTCTATCATCCATTCCTCCACCATCCGCTTTAAGTGTGAGATGATGCAATTTCAAGTTTTAAATATCAAACCCTTCAAATTCCCAAATATCCAATCTTTCCAATCTCAAACCCATTGCTGCTACTATATGCCAGATAACACGTATCTATATGTATCTGATTGACGACTAGCCTTAATCGAAAGTTCTCTCTCATGATTGAGAGGGGTAATTAACTATAGAGACTTGCACCTATAGGAAACCAGAACTCCCATCATAAAGTCATCGCAAAATGAGGGTGAAATCTCTAGGTAGTGTCTTATCTACAAACCCATCTGCCTTCCAAAATTTATCCCGAAACTTATTTAGTAAAAACTCCATCGCCGAATAAAAAGAAAAGCGGGCGGAGGACGGGGCCAAATTTTTGGAGCCTACAGATTTCTATAGAGTCCGCTGGGGATTGGTTTCTCTTTTCATCTTTGGCTAGTCATCTCAGTGTTATAGTAGCAGCTATATCAAATCTTACTCGAGATTTTGAGTCTTTCAAAATGATCGTTTAATGATTCAAAAATCTGAATTTTTTTAAAAATCATTTGTCAAATTCATTTGGCATTCAGTAGAGTTTTAAAATTATTTTTATTGCTTGGTTATGCTAAAAATTTTTGTCTTTTTTTTTGTTTTTGTGTTATGTACAAGTCTCTGCATTTTGAAAGTGCGGGGTGATGTATCAGATTCTGATTACTAACCCTTGCCTTTCATTTATGCAGATGGATCTATAGAACACCCGATGACCGTCCAGCTGGGACGAGGAACCATGATTCAGCTGGCTAATGCTGTTATTGAGACTGGAAACATTGGAGCTACCATCCAATTTGGTAGTGTCGATTTCCCTGCTGTCGTTGCAAGAGCTTTTGAGGCTCCTACTCGTCGCACGCATCTGCCGGTGCAGCGACCCCCTACTGAAGCTCCTACCCTTCGTGTGCATCTACCAGCATAACGACCTGCTGCCGAAAATTCTCGAGGGAGGATTTTTGTGTTCGAGAGGCTGTCACAGCCTAAGGCCCTGACCACCAGAAGAATTGTGAATGGTGGAAGAGTTTCTATGGTGACTACAAACACCACTACTCTGTCAATCAGGTTATCTGCACCTGGAAGTACGATGCTGAGTCTTCCTCTTATGGAGGAAGGCCTACAAGGAGGCAGAGAAGAAAGATGAACGCGGAACTCCGAGCTTAGCAGCAACAACTCCCTGTCCACCCTTCAAATCTATCGGCCTAAGAGCCTGAAGCCAATGTTCCTACCCAGAACAAGTTTTCTGATTTAAAATGGGTGAATAGGAATAGCTCCATTGGTGAGCTAAAGAAGTCCTTCTGGGAACAACGATGTGAGGTCCGAGCCCCTCCAAAGTAGAAAGAGCTTGAAACTCTGTCCGCTCGAGTATACAGAGTATTAAAGACACTGAAGGATAAAGGTCTGAAGATGAAGTTTCAACGGCCTTTAGTGATCATGACCAGAAGAACCCCGCCAAGGGAGCGTCTGTCCTTTGCTGTAGAAGGGAGAGAAAGAAGGCAAAACCCATGCGGTGAACAATGGGGCGTGACATCTGAACCATATGTTCAAGGATTTGTTGCTGAAAGGTACCGGTGGAAAGGAAATCAAGTCTGGAGGCCAAAGCCTCAAAGGAATGAGAAGGAATATAGAAGAGAAGGAAGAACGAATTTGGGCGTGACATCCGGTGAGGCTTACCAGAGATCCGCCCCCATCAACAAATAACGTTAGAGGTGGGCCCCTAAAAGGACCCATAATGACACTCCTCCAGACAGTAGACACCTTGGAGAATCCTCCAGGGGATCCCGTCGCCCTCCATCCCCTCTAAAGGAAGAGACTAACTTCGACCGCAGTCCACTGATCGAAGAAGTCCCCTTGCCTAATCAAGAACCGAAAATCCAATGGCGTCGCCGCTCAGAGATCCGAGTACTGGAAGAAAATATAGATGATCAAAATATAGGAGAGGAAGAATACCTTGAAGGGGAAGAAAATATTGATGAATTTCTGGAGGAAATTCTAAAAGAGTAAATACAAGAAATAAATAACATCTTGGACATGTAGGTAGTCTATATGGTGAGACACACCAATGCTAATGAGAAAGCCTACTACAATAACGATGAAGATGAAGACGATCAACAACCGCCGGTTAGGCAAGTTTATCGACGTCGTCATAAAGCTGGGTCCACCACTGGCAGAGGTGGTCATTCCCAAGTAGAAGAAGAAAGAGAAGAAACCGAGGAGAATCCCTTCGCTGACGAGAATGTCACACTTGCAGACATGTAAAGACATATTAGTCGACAAATGAGAGCCAAAGATAGAGAAATCTGTCAGTTGAATGAGAAGATGACTGAGATGATAGCTCAGAAGGGGGCAATGATGCAGAGAACTGCCGCTATTGGTGCCATGCCCAATCCTCCTGTTGATCCTCCAAATTTTCAAATTCCTCAAGTCTCGGGAGGATTAGATATTCCTGATGGTGGTCACGAGGCTCATAATGTCATCCGTCAGCCCATCCCACAAAATGTTGCAAGTACTTTTGAACCTGTGACCGCTGCATAGTTGGAAGGAATAATAATAAAAAGGATCAGAGCTATCATAGTTGTTGATAAGGCAGAGAAATTAGTGGGCAAGGGTCATCCGTATCCTCTTGAATACGACCAAGTGCCGTATCCAAAATAATATTCAATACCAAAGTTCAATACTTTCAACGGTAATAACAACCTCAGGCAGTAATTGGCACAGTTTAAAGCCACTTGCGGGAATACAGGAGGCAATGACGCCCTACTCTTCCGACAATTCGTCAGCAGTTTGACAATAACTTCTTTCAAATGGTATGCTGAACTGCGGAATGATTCTGTGAAGACATTCGCATATTGAAAAATATGTTTGTGAAGAGATTTGCTAGTGCAACTGAGAAGATCACGATCGCTGACCTCGCTCTGGATAAGAGAAAAAGAGAAGAATCAGTGACTAAATACATCACTCGCTGGCAAAATTTGAGCATGAAATGTGAGCAGCAGTTAGAAGAAGAACATGCAGTACAGTTGTTAATGTGCAACATAGATGACAAGATGCAACCCTTCCTGTGCATGTCTACAATCAACATATTTCAAGACTTGCTTAATAGAGTGGCGAAGTTCGAGAAACTGAATTTTTCCAGATCAGAAAATCACTCTGATAAGCCCAAGAAGGCTAAGGCCCCGGGTGCTAGAAGGGGTGAGGCCGACTCTACGTTCTTCTCTAGAGCTGATAGAGAAAAACAAGTGATTTACAACGTAGACAAAGGCAAACAACCGATGCAATATCAAGAAAAGCCTAAGCAAGTTTATAATCCCAGCCCCCAACCGAAGTTGATACTAGGGGGAAATGATAAGCCACAAACTTATCAAGGTGGTGGAGAACGCCCGAGACAGACAATAGGAACTGGTGATAGAACGTTCCAATCCCTTAAAGATAAAATGAATAAAGAATATTCATTCAAGAGGGAGAGTGTCACTAAATTATTTCGACAAGTATTAAAATCGGGTTTAGAACTACCTGAATGCAAGAGACCCGAAGAGTCGAAGCACACTGGTGATCCAAATTATTGCCCATATCATCGGGTACTCAGCCGTCCTATTGAAGATTGCTACATCTTCAAGGATTGTCTTAAAAGAAAATATTAAAAAGGGGAACTCACATTGTCCGACAATGTGTTGTCTCACCCTAGAAAGGAATCAACTCGGGTGGTCACGTCCTCTTCCGTACCCCTGGTTGAAGAAAGAAGAAAAAGAAAAGAAGAAAATTCAGGAAGAACAGTGGAAGACTGTGGTCTCCAAGAAAACTGTGAAGATGTTGAAGCAGCTTGAAGGAGTTCCAGGTGTAAAGTGGAACTCTCCTATTGAGCCAATGATAGATTTGAAGGTGCTACCAGTGGTATGACCTTCTACTTCTAAACAGTTTTCCGACCAAGCAGGTACTTCAAAGTCTGGAAGGGTGAAATCCTCCAAGAAGAGAACCAAGCTGAAGAAGCCCAATGAGAAGATGACTACGACTCAAAGGGTTATCGACAGTTTGGATGAATACTACCAAACTGTGAGGCGACCTATCAAGCTCATTGACTTTATGACAGAGCTTAAAATAGATGAAGCCAAAGAAGGAGATGAAGATTCTCTTCCCAAAGAAGTATGTAAGGTCATCTCGGTGGCGTCGAGTACCTTAACAAAAGAAGAATACATAGAAGAAGTACCCTCTGTATCCTGTATGATGGTTTTGCCAATGGACTACAGCTCACAAGAGGACTTGTATTTTCTTGAAGAAGATGAATTAGACCCTAGCATAGAGTCTCGAATCGGACATGTAAATTTGGGCGGTGACTCTGAATCAACAGATGCATCCCTAGACGCAACAATGGCTGATTCTAAAGAAAATTCTCAATTAAATGACTCTGAACCGAAGGAGATTACTCAAGTGCAGTTAAGAAGCGGCAATGTACTACCGCCTCCACCTAAGAAAGGGGTCTCCAACAAAGACAAGGAAAAAGAGATAGTTATCAACGATGATATTATCCCTGAAGATCCTAAGAAAAAGAAGGCTTCAGCCAATGGGATAGATTATAATATTTTATCCCATCTAAGAAAGCTCCCTCTCTTACCTCGACATGCGCGTCGGGCCGACAAACCAGCCATGCATGCTTTTCTCTAGCGTGGTGGGAGGAAACCCGGTGCGACGCCAATGACAAGATAGTCGAGTGACTGCTCGATCCACATGCCAACATCTACAACACTGACGATCGCAAAGGTATAATGCAAAAGGAGGCCATTTGGATTTAAGTGAGTATTCAAATATCAAAGGGGTATTTTGGTCAAAACTGCTTGATCTGGTCTACCAGGTTTGACCAGGGCTAGAGCTTGATCCAATGTACTCCTAATGATGATTAGGATGCATTGGAGAAGGTTACAAGGCTTAATTTGAAAATGTCATGTTGAATTCTATAAAAGCTCCAAAATGCCCTTAACCTCTAGTTGACTGGAGGTCAAAATTAGCACCAAAATACAGTTACTACTTAACATATCTTGATAAAGGGTCTGAATGTGATTAGAGCCTTTAAAGAAGGCTCCAAGGTGAAATTCCACTAGTGGACATGTACAGTGGCATAGGCCGTAAATATTTGAAGGTTTTACAACCTTTGGATTTCAATCCAGTTTATGTGGTTAGAGATCTCAGATTGAGCTTAAATTTGGAGGGTAGACCCTTGGGACATGCCTAATCAATATGCAATTGATAGATCATGAATCAGAGTTTATTTGATTGGGGTTTGAAGTGTTTAAAAAATCATTGGAAAATGATATCAGGATAGGGCCTTTGAACCCTGGGTTTTGGTCTGCATTTATGAATTTGATCTAGATTTTGGATTTAAATGCATGAATTTGAATTATTCAATTCATTGACAATCATTTGAATGATCATAAGTGATTGGGTAGGATTGAAGCCAGATTAGAGGCAGGATCAAGGTTTAAATTGGAATTGAGATATGGATAGGTTTAAATTCTGGATCATAAGTTTGAAGTTTGGGCTTGATTTGAATCTGGATTGATCCTAGGGTCTAGGTAGATCTAGGGATTGGATAGATCCCAGGGTCTAGATAGATCTTAGGGTCTGGATAGATCTTTGGGATTAGATTGGTCCTAGTGACCTCATATAAAAATGAGGTCAACATTATACTCCCACGAACATGCTAAGTGCTCGAATTCAATATCCAAAAATGCTGTTTGAATCGTAAATAACATGAATGCTAGTTCATCCTGTCCCTACAACCATACAAATGCTTAAAAAAATTATGAAATTAATTTTGAAGTTATAGTCTCTATTTTTAAAATCAAGATCATTTATATGCTGTACAATGTTCTTAAGTAGATCACCTTGTTGTTATGACATGCTCTTAAATTTCACATTTCAAATTTGATCCTCTATTCCTTAATGACTAGAGTCCATAAGATTTGAACCCTATGATGGCTATGTTGACACAAATTATCAACTAGTGGGGATTTTACTTCTAAAAATATCCCCAAATCCCACAACAAATCATTTTGGACTTAAATCTTAATAAAATACGAAAATATAAAAAATTATAAAGTAAAGAAATATTTGAACACAATCTATCGAATTAAAATTTAAAGTAAAAATAGATCAATCCATCGTAATCGTTAGTCAATGATGATAAATTCAATAATAACTTCAACTTATAAAGAGCCAATGTTTTATCAAGTGTATTGCTATGTTCAATATCAAATAATCTTGCTAGTAAAGATATGACACATATCCTCTAACTGACTATTTTATCACCAAATAACACCACATATAAATAGTTATGAATAGGGCTCTCTGTATGAGTGTTTTCATTGTAAAATGACACCACTAAATTACTTTTACATCAAAGCCCATAAGTTTACAAATGGCTTAAAAATCTTTGAATTGTGTATCATAGGCCACATTTGTTAGACCTTAAAGCTCTCTAAGCTAAGGTTGACTTATATTTGATACCCTAGAAAAACATCCAACCTAAGTCTATAAGGTTCCCTTGGACGAAAGTATCATTCAATTAGGTTAGGCCGACTTCCTCTATTCACTATGTTGATCATGGACCATGGCAATTTATAATGATAGAACCATGTGATCTTGATAGGGTTTATTGTCATTCTCCTCACTATCTTCTTAAGTTTATGATTGTAAACATTTCTAAACTAAATTTACTATCACTATATGCTTAGCATTTAGTATATGAAGACTAGCCTTAATCAAAAGGTCTTTCTCGTTATTAAATGGATAATTATAAATGTTTGCTCCCATGGGTAATATTGAATCTGATTCTAAAGTCCTCGCAAAATGAGAGTGAAATTTTGAGTATTGTCTTATATGCAATTAATATGTCTTATAAAAATTTTGCCCAAGTGCCAAAACTCTTTAAATAGACCGTGGTGCAAATTTTGGGCTGCATATTGTGTTCAAATTCTCATGAGGAACTTGATGATTGTAAAATATCCATTATATTCTTAAAGGGTGAAAAACTCCATACTTTGTACCGTTTAGAAATTTGTCACTCGTTTTTTTTCTTTTATCACTCAACTTTCTCTTGTGGAGATCCCAAACAATATGTGAGAGGCTCTACTAGTATTTTAGTGAAAGGAAGTAGTTCTTGAGGAAATGAGAGTTAGAAAAACAGGACTTGATGAGATGAAAAAAACAGGAAGTTGTTCTTGAGGGAAGTCTACTATTGGTTGTAAGTGGGTGTTTTTAGTGAAGTCTAAATCAGGTTGGACTATTAACTGATATAAGACTAGATTGATTGGAAAAGGATTTATTCAAGCCTATGGCATTGTTTATTTGGATATTAACGCATTTGTAGAAAAGTTGAAAACTAAAAGAGTTTTATATTCTACTATAATAATCTTGATTGGCCTCATCACCAACTACATATTAAGAGCACTTTCCTTAATGAAATCTTGAAGAAGAAAGCTATATGAATCATTCTCTTAGAGTCAAAAGGAAATAACTCAAAGATATTCTTACTCAAAAATATTATTTTATCATCTCAAATAATTTGCTAGTTTTGTTTGAAAATTTTACCTAGTCTATAAAAAAGAAGACTACAATAATCTTGATTGTCCTCTACACCAACTAGATATTAAGGGCACTTTCGTTCATGAAATCTTGAAGATGAAGCCTATATGAACCAAGAGGGGGCCACCTAGATTAGGAGGAAAAGAAGTGTGCTCATTGCATGGGGATGATTTCTCTGCTAAGAAATATTTAAATAGATGTCATAATTAATTGAATCTTTTTATTTGAATTTCAAGTTTTAATTTAATTTAGTTTAATTTGGCAAGCTATCATAGCAAGAGTTCCATAAATATTACATAGTTGTTCTTGATCAAGAATAAGTCAAAAAAATATGTTTCCTTCCAAAATTACAGTATTATTCGTATATTCAGAGTGCAGGCATTGATTCTATCTCCTACAAGAGAGCTTGCTGCACAGACTGAAAAAGTCATATTAGCAATTGGTGATTACATAAACGTGCAGGCTCATGCTTGTATTGGTGGAAAGAGCATAGGGGAGGATATTCGAAAACTGGAATATGGAGTTCATGCGGTCTCAGGAACTCTTGGTAGAGTTTGTGACATGATCAAGAGAAGGACCTTAAGGACAAGATCAATTAAATTGCTAATTCTTGTCAGTAATTTGTTACTTTGTTTTTTTTTTTAACCCAACACAATGTTTGTTTTCTTTTATAGAACTAAATATAGCAATTTTGAACAGGATGAGTCAGATGAGATGCTGAGCAGAGGTTTTAATGATCAAATATATGATGTTTACAGATATCTTCCCCCCGATCTTCAGGCAAATAACAAAACTTTTGTTGATTATGCCCTTCATCCCTTTTACCAATTCTTTATCATGTATTCAAGTTTTATGCTACTCTATTAGCTTTTTAGTTCCGTACGAGGCAGCTTGAAATATTTTAAATTTGTTCTTGTTTAGCCATTCTATTTGCAACTACTGTTATATTTCATCTTTATTATTGTTTCTTAAGATACTTCTTGAAAATTGATTCTCTTAAGAATGGCTTTCCATCAATGCACTTATTAAAGAAATTTCTGTAGACCTTGAAGGAAACTTAAAAAGAGCTATAAAATGATATGTTTATAATATTTGATTGAAAATAATTCTTTGTATTTTTTTTTTTCTTTATTTGGTTTTAATGGTTAGATTTGGAAAGGTCAGTTGTGTTATTCAATCAACGAGGATCAATTAGGTTGGTATAGTTAGATTAAACTGGACTTAAGGGATGGCTAGGTCGGGCTCATTGGTTCTTGTTATGGTGAGGAAATATGGTTTAATTTCTTTCTGTTTAAGAAAATTTAGTTGGATAATGCTGATGATGAATGATCCAGAGTTGGGTGGGGATAGCTTATGAAACTTATTAAAAATATATATGACATGGAAATTAAATTTTCTTTGGAGGAATATGATTTGACAATGCTCCTAAGTAAGTTGGGAGCGAGAGAAGAGAGAATGAGGAAAATAATTTAATTTCTTCTTGTTTAATTCATTACATGGGATTGGCTACATGAATCCTTTTTCTCCATTATGTCCTGTTAAGAGTCAAATTCTCATTCAAATCTAATAAAGAAAGGTTATTTCTAATATTTTCTAACCAAGTATTTTTATGTCTACCTCTATTTTTCTTAACATAAGCAAAATCTAATACATCTACTCTCCTAATTTGGTAATCAGAAGGCTGTCGTTTTATGTGACCAATCCATCTAAGGCGACTCTCAATAATCTTATCTTCCCCTAGAACTACTCCAACCTTTTCACGTATATGCTTGTTTCGTATTTTATCTCTAAGAGTAAGCCACTCATCCCCCCAAACATCCTCATCTTTGTAGCAGTTACCTTAATATTATGCTTCTATTTTAATGGCCAACATTTTGCACCATAAAACATTGCAGGTCTCACCACCATCTTATAGAAATTTTCCTTAAGTTTGAGGGGGACTTTTCTATCACACAACAAGCCCGATGCATTTTTGCACTTCAAAACTCTAACTTGAATTCTACTAATAATATCCCTATCTATTTCACCATCTCTCTGAACAATAAACCCAATATATCTAAAATGTATACTCTTATTAATGACTTGATCGCCCAAAGTCAAAATCCCCCCATTATATCTATTATTACTAAAAATTGCACTTCATAAATTTTGTTTTAGATTTACTCAAATAAAAACCTTTAGACTCTAAGGTTGACCTCCATAATTCATGTTTACCTTCAACTCCCTCTCTAGTCTTATCAATAAAAAAGAATATCATCAGCAAAAAACATACACTAAGGTACAACCTCTTTCAAATGTCTAGTTTGAACATCCAGATTAAAGCAAAAATATATGGGCTTATGGTTGATGCTTGTTGTAGTCCAACTGAAATAGAAAAATACTTGGTCAAATCACCTTATGTTTGAACACAAGTAACAGCTCTTGCATACATATCCTTAATGACTTGAATATAAGCATTATTAGTTCCTTTCTTTTCTAGAACTCTTAATAACACTTCTATTAGAACTTTATCATATGCTTTATCTAAATTAATAAATATCATATATAGATCCTCCTCATTCTCTCTATACTTCTCCATTAAACCTCTCAATAAATGTATAGCTTCCATTGTAGACCTACCTTGCATGAATCTTAATTGATTTTGAGAAATATTAGTATCATGTCATAACCTATGCTCCATAACTCTCTCCCATATTTTTAAAGTATGACATATTAACTTACCTATTCTATAATTCACACAATCTTGTGCATCACCTTTATTTTTAAAAATATGAATCAAAACACTCATTCTCCACTCATCTGACATCTGTCTAATCTTCAAAATAATATTAAAAAAAGTTTAGTAAACCAAGAAATTCATTCATCTGCTAAGGATTTTCACACCTCTATTAGAATATCATCAGGTCAAATAGCTTTTTTACACTTCATTCTCTTTATAACCTCTCTAAATTTGGTTTTTACAAAAATCTTTATTTTTTATTTAGGATGCTAAGGTCACTAAAGTTTATTGTATTCTCATAATCTTCATTAAAAAGTTTAGGAAAATTTCTCATCTACCTTTATTGAATATCCTGTTATAATAAAAGCTCTTTTTGATATTCATTTTTAATGCATTTTATTTGAACTAAATCCTTACTACTCCTATCTCTTTGTTTGACTAACTTATACATATATCTTTCGCCCTACTTAGCATCTAATCTATTAATTAAATCATTAAAAACTTAAATATTTGCATCACATATTGCTTTCTAAGACTCCTTATGGGTCTCTTTATATCTTTTCTCAATTATCACAGTTTTTACATATAAACTAATTTTTATAACAAAGATTCTAATTTTTTATCTTTTTTTTGCATATTTTGATTAGATTACGAACTATTTTTATGATCTCTTCCTTTTGATACTATAAATACATCCTTTGCAACATTCTTAATATCACTAGCTATTTTTTTTCCACATAACATTAGCTTTTCTCTTACCCTAGGTTTTCTACGCACATTTAAATTATGGTTAGTCATTCCTTAAAAATAATCAGCAACTCATTGATTCTATCTTTAAAAGGTGGTCGACTACCCCAAATAAGGGAAGATGACTTTATAGAATAGTTTTGGATAGTTTTCTTGATTTTCTCTACCCAAATCTCTTCGTTTATCCAAATTTAGTCACCCCTTTCTTATGAGTTTAAATTGCAAATTATTCTCACCTCAAATTTTTATTTGCAAATTTATCTTTCGGAGTTTACACTTGTAAATTTTCTTGAGAGCCTTATGGAACATGACTTCTCATTTTATGTCTTTTACTTAGTGAATTGTACATGCAAAAAAAAAAAAAAAAATGGCTAGATGTGTGATAGGAAGTGGATACAATTTCTTCAAAATCAGTAAACATCGTTAAGAAATTAGGAAGAACACACCAAAATTATTTTTATTGCAGGATATATGAAAGAAAATAGCAATATATACACATCTCACTGTGACCTTTTGGTTGAGAGCTTAGGCTTCCAACAGAGGTCATGGGTTCGAGTCTTTGTGTATGCGTTGTGTATGTGAGTTTGCCTTAAATGGCCTAAATGTCCAAAAAAATAGCAATATACAGTTGTATCTTCAATTAGAGAGGAAGATCCAGCTCTTCTAAATCTCTAGCCGACGGCTAGACCCTCACAATTTAAGAAATTCTAATTTCAGCAAACTCAAAACACAATCTCGAAATCATCCTATTGTTAGCCTTAAATAGACTATTCTAATTCCCTCCCAAATTAGACCCCTTTCCCTAAATAATTCTCTCTCATATTTGAATTTAAATCATATCTCTTGCCCTAAATAATTCCCTCTCAATTGTAATTAAAACTTTCCTAAATAATTCCAACTTGGTTCATTCTCCCTTTTCCTAAATAAATTTCTTTTAGATTTTGAATTCAAATTAGCTCTCTTGCCCTCAATAATTCCCTCCCACTTATAATTGAAACTTTTCTAAACAATTTCCCTTTGATTAAGAACCTTCCTTAACAACTCCCTCTTGATTAAGGAACTTTTTAATTCCCTCTCAATCAAATTAGCCGGGCTATCAATACTCCCCTCCCAATGTGCTACCATATCCTCAAGGTGGAATGAAGAAAACTGCTGCTAAAGCATTGGGCTAAAAAATGGACTATCACTGGGTTGAATGATCCCTGCCTCTAGCATCCCCTTGATTAATCTCTTAATCTTTTCATTTTGTATTTGAGGATGAAGGTACAGACGAACACTGATAGACGAGTCTCCTTTGTTCAAGATGATAGCATGCTCGCATTCCTGAGGAGGAAATTTCTTACTGAAGAAGGATATAAGTGTTAACATTCTACCACAAAAAAAAATTTCTTACTTCAAAAGATATGTCACCTTTGATGGAATTTTTTCAATTAAACTCATCTTCAAGGTAAGAAGTCTCAACTTGAAGAAGTCTCAACTTGAAGATAAATTTGATGAAATTTCTATCTTTCATCTGGACATTCTAACAACAAAATCTCCAACAAATCTTGATATTGTACCCTTTCAAGTCTATACAAAAAGGAATAAGTCTAGCCAAAATCTCCAGCAATATCAAGACTTAGCATAGTTAATAGATAACAATGATTAACCCATCACTATGCATTCTCCTTTATATCCCATCTCCTATTGCACATCTTTTAAAAAATTTTCTTCTACTTATAAAACCTTACAAACATAAGCTTCTATTCCAATAGAATACTAAAATTTTATTTGAGACACTTGAAAACAAAAATTGGAAAGATGCTATAAGAGAAGAAATTAATACTTTGAAAAAAATTACAATTGGGAGATCGTTAATTACCAAAAGAGAAGAAAATTGTAGGATACAAATGGATTTTTTTGGTTAAATATAGAACATATGAAAGCCTATAGCAGTATAAAGTGAGATTGGTAGCCAAAAGATTTAAAAAATAGACTACTATGAGATTTTTGCTCCTATTGCAAGAATGAATATAACGCACATAATAATTTCTCTTATAGTCAACTGTGGATGGTCCATGCAACAATATGATAGGAGTTTTTTTTTCTTATATGGGGATGTGGAAGTTTGTATAGATCAACCATCTTGATTTGATTGTTCTTTTACAATGAACAAAATGTGTAAATTAAAGAAGGCTTTTTATAGACTTAAGTAATCTTTGATCGCATATGATTTATCATATTTATAAAATTTATGAATAAATTTGGATACAAATATAGCCAAGGTAATCATGTCTTTTTCAAAATTATTCTCTTACTTGTAGAGCCATCCTTACAAACATAAGCTACAATTTCATTATAATATTACAAACTCTTTTTGAGGCACTTTGATGTAAAACAAACAAGCGAAGATGAGTTGCTCAAGGAATTTGCACGCTTAATTTTTAGAGAACAATATTAAATGAAACTTATGCTGATTTAATGCTAAGATAAAACAATAAGGCGATAAAATAAACTTAGGCTGAGTCACACGCGTAAGAGTTAAGATCATATAACAATCAAGTCAATATAACGTTGCGTATATGAATGGTTTTCAACAAATATCCCTAGTCTAACAATGAGATTAATTACTAGGAGTGTCCACTCACTCAACTCTCTGATTCACTAGGCTTTAGCAGAGAAAAGATTAACATAATCTTCATGAGGCAAGTTACAACCACATTCGAGAGATAAACTAAGAACATACAAGAGTTGGTGAGGAGTTCACCCATAGAAGAAGATGTGGAGTCCCGTTGGTGGGATGGGTGTTGGGGAAGTAGTGGACAGCTATTTGATATTTCCGGCTATCTCAAACAGCCCTTGGGAGCCCTTCCCAATGGAGGGACACCAAAGAACAAGTGCCAAAGTTTTTGGACAGCAGCCTCGGTGGAGTGGACAGTAGTTTGGACTTGTGGAGAAATCTGGACAGCAAGTTTCTTTCTTCCAGAATTCTGGGCAGCAACTCAATCAGGGAAAATCTGGACCTTGTTGCCCCGTTGGAAGGGGAAGAGGGTGGTGTAAGGGCTATAAAACTTCCCTGAGATCTTCTCTTCCTGTGGAAATAATTGTGGAGGCTAGGGAAGAGAAAGGGGCAGGTAAGGAGAAAAGGGGAGGGGCTGGCCGGCAGCACTAGGAGGGAGAGAGAGAAGGTGGTGGTTTAATTGCTTGCCTTGTCATTAATTCTCAATTAAGACGGATTGGAGGGAAATAGGCTCAATTTGAATTTGAATGGGGCTTAATTTGGGGAGTTAATAAGGAAGTAATAATGGCTAGAATTAATGAGAGACAGGGATGAGTGGGCCGGCCTATAGGGGGGAGGAGGAAGATTTTGTCCACATTCAATGAATGTGGACCACACAATGAATTGTAATTAAAGACTAATCTGAGAATTAATCTCAGATTTAGGGTGATGGAGAGATATTTCCTTCAAGGCTTAGGCATAAATAGAAAGCATTTGAAATTCAAATTATTTTGAATTTGAATTCAAATCATTTCCTAAAATACAAGGAGCCAAATAAGGAAATAAGTAATTGGGAGGTTAATGGGGAATTCAAGGGGGAACCCATCATGGGGCCGGCGGTATCAAGGAGGAGGTAGGGGATTGGGAGGATGAGAGGGGGTTTCCAAATAGGTGATGATGACTAGGAAAGAAAAATATTAAATCCAATTTGATTTATTTTAAAACTGGATTCAACATAGAAACTTTCCTAATTTGGATTTCCTAATTTGGAAAGAATTTGAAATTCAAAATTTGAATTTCAAATTGAGGAGTTCTCTTCCTAAATTAAGGGAGGTAATTTTGGTAAGTGATGATGATGACATTAACCATCATTAATGGTGGGTGGGTACTAGGGCCGGCGGCATGGTGGTGGGGTTTAGGAGAATTTGGTTGGGGAAGGATGAGGTGAAGCCGGTGGTGGAGCTTGGGGAGGGATTGGATGGTGGAGGCTAAACACTTGGTGGTGGATGGAGAGGGGAAGAAAGGAGATGAAAGAAAAACAAATAAGAGAAAAGTAAAATAACGAACTCACAAAGAGATCGTAAGAACTGCGAATCTTGGACTCTTCCAAAGATTGATGGGTATTGCAAATCACCCTCCTCGGGCTTCTCCTCTCATGAACTCACTAAGAGATCAAACAAGCACAAACTTTTTTTATTCAATAATTCATCATCCCCTCTCCAAGAGGAGGGAGAAGGCTTAAATAGTCAAATACATGAAGGAAAATAAAAAGACACAATTGCCCCTAAGGCAAACATAAGACAAAGCCCTCAAGTGAGGGTAGAAAGGGATAAAGAACAATAAAAAATCAAATACATAAAATATATCAAAATAAATAGACACGATCGTAGCCGTTGATCTTCGATGTCCTCATCACACTTGAAAACAAGAATTGAAACGATGTTGTAAGAGATGTTAAGAAAAAAATCACACTTGAGATATTGTTGAAGTGCTAAAACGGAAGAAAAATATAAAATCCAAATGTTTTTTTTGGTTAAATATAAAGCAAATGGAACTCTAGAATAATATAAAGCAAGATTGGTAGCCAAAAGATATACTTAGTTTTATAGGATTGACTACCAAGAAAGTTTTGTTCCTATTGTGAAAATGAATATAATACTTATCTTAATTTATCTTATAGCCATTCGTAGATTGTCTATATGGTAACATGATGTAAAGATTGTTTTCTAATATAGGGATGTTGAAGAAGTTTATATGGATCTACTATATGGATTTGATAGTTCTTTTAGAAAGAACAAAGTTTGTAAATTTAAAAAATAGGCTCGATGTGGCTTTAAACAATCTTCGACAAGATTTGATATATTTATAAAAGTCATGAATGAAGTTGGAGATAAACAAAGTCAATGGAACTATTCATCTCTCATCAAAATATGTTATAGATGTACGGAAAAGGAAAAAAAATAATTAATTGTGATCCTTGTGAAATCAATTGAACTGGGTCAAAAATTGGATGCAGATGAAGAAGGAAAATAAGTAGATGTGGGATAATATTAAATATTAGTTGAAAATTTAATCCATCTCAAACCTATCTAGACATCACATTTGTAATAAATCTCATCAGTTCATTCATATACAGACCTAAATAATCTCACCTTCAAACTTCTTATAGAATTCTTAGATATCTTAAATCAAATCTAGGCAAAAGAATTTTGTATAAAAGGCATGATACCTTCTAAATTAATGGTATACTGATGCAGACTATGTTGGGTCATCTCTGTACAAGTATATATTTTTGGAATCAATCTCATAACATACATCAACAACAACATCAATAACATCAAGCCTTTGTCCCACTACGAGGAGTCAGCTATATGAATCCTTTTTTCGCTATTGTGCCCTGCTAAAAGTCAAATTCTTATTTAAATCTAATAAAGAAAGATCATTTCTAATATTTTCTCATAACATAAAGGAGCAAAAATATTTTCTTAAGATCTACCTCTGAATTTAAATTTTGAGCTATTGCTAAAAAATCTGCAAGCTTTTATAGATAAAAATAAATCTTGGAAGATAAATCAAATGGGAATGACTAATGAAGATATATTGCAATAATATATATGCCATTTGCCAAATATGTGGAGATGAATAAATATTTCATAAAAGAGAAATTAGAAAGTATGTTGATTATACTGTATATGTTCCAGCATGAAATCAACTTGCTAATATTCTCATCAAAAGACTCCACAACCCCATGATCAAAAACATTTTAGGCAAACTTGGAATGATAGATCATTTATATCATTCAGTTTGAACGAGCGTTGAAAGACCGTGTGATTTAGAAGTCCATTAATCTTGGCAGGATTTCTCGAGTGCATGGGTTAATGGTTTTAACCATTAGATTGATCCTATTTTATCCTTTAGATTGCAATTAATGTGCCTTTCCTTCCTCTTCTAGTTTCTGCCTTGCTTGGAAACTTTTTATCTTTTTTTAGTAGTTAGTTTTAATTTATTTTCATTACAGGAATTTTGAAAATATAGAATATATACTTTCATACTTTGTATAGAATCTTTACTGAGAGTAAAGGAATGAATATATACTTTCATACTTTGTATAGAATCAATCAAAAAAAATAAAAGTAATTTTTTTTTTTATTTTCTACTTTTTATAGCTTTGTCTATTTTGCTGAGATTATGGGTAACCTTTACTGCTCTCCCTCTTGCCCTTTTTATCAGTTTCGTTGGTGTTGTTTCTATTTTCCTCCCTCTTTAGTTGTCTTGCATTCGTCATCCAAATCATTTATCCTTTGACTCACCAATTTCAATATGAAATTACGAAAAAAAAAAGGAAACCAGTAGAGCCTTGGTATTTGATTGGAATTTCTGGATGTCTAGCATAGCTAAGCATACGAAGTTTTTATTTGTGTTCAATATTTTGATGATTACAGTTGTCATTAAAACCTTTACACCTCATCAATGATCGCCTACAAGCCAAAATGTTCCTGTAGTAGACAATAAGATGTTGATCATTAACACAAATGTAAGCAGCAACAGCTATGAAAAGCTTTCTCATGATATGTAAAATATTGTTCTTCCTTTGAACAGTCATCTCATTCATGTTACTAGTTTTTGTGGTATTCTATTCACAATAGCATGTATTTTTTTACTTATTACCCTACATAAAACCAATGTCCTGTTAGTTATAAAATGTTAAAACCATTAGTACATTTATAATGTTTAATGAGTAGGTTCCCATGGATGTCATTTGAGAGGCAAGTCTTTGATAAAAACTAACTTGATTTTTGTACTTGTTTTTATTGATTATATACTTTTTTTTATTCTCATTGAGCTGTACCTGGATTATTTAATATCTCCCTAGGGATATTTAAAATGTTTTTTCTTGGAATTTTGATGATGTGTTATATATATATGGTATAATTTTTCATTTTGCTTTCGTTGACTACATTAATTAGTATAACCATATCTGCCTCTCGCCCATGTTGTTCTAATATCTGCCACACTTCCTCATGAAATATTAGAAATAACTGGCAAGTTCATGACGGATCCTGTGAGAATACTGGTCAAGCGTGATGAGCTAACTCTGGAGGTGAACTATATTGCTTCGTGTCAATTCTGTGTTTGAAATTCGTACAGTTGATCACACGTGGCTCATTTTCTGAATGCAGGGTATCAAACAATTCTTTGTTGCTGTTGAGAGGGAGGAGTGGAAATTTGATACTTTGTACGATCTCTATGACACGCTTACTATCACCCAAGCTGTTATTTTCTGCAATACTAAAAGAAAGGTGACACAGTCCTTTTATTTATTCATTCCATTTGTTTTCGTAATTCTGAGATTATCTGAAACTTTTGATTTATGGGATTATTTACTTTTTAAGTTTCTTAATATCTTTTTCTTTTAACATTTTTTTTTATGCCAAGTTTCTCAGCATCAGCTAAAATTTGATCCAGTTTTCTCAGCAGCTAAATTTGGGGTCATTCATGAACCATATGACCTTACACATTCATCATCAATCGCAGCACCACATCTAAGCTTGAGTTTCATTTTTCATTACATTTAGAATAAGTTAGCTACATCAAGTGTCTGCAAAGCATCAAACCAAGTGATACTCACATGCATATTCTTATTTCAGGCAATTGGTTGCTTTAAAATTGAAAAAAATGTTTCAGAAAGTGATGGTTTCATTTTCACTTGTTTTAATTGTAGAAATAGAATTATAACTTTTGAGGGAGTTTTGATAAGAGTTGTGGAGTTTAAAATCAAACTTGGTGTCTAACTTGATGCAACCAAATGATGGATTTAACAAACTTCATCATTTTTCAAAATATGATTTCTTATATCAAGCAATCAAATGTGTCGTAAGTGTGAAATGGTGGTTCTTCAGTTATGTATAGCACAGCCCATTTATTATTCTCAATATTGTGGTTATTCAGCAAAAGTAGCATAAAGGTTTTTTCCATCACAATACAGCATTTATATTATTTTAATACGGGAAACATAAGTGCATTTGAATATCAAGTTACTTTTTAGGCTAAATCAAGTAAAAATAAATAAGTGTGAATCGAGCATCAAATTGTGCACAATTTATTATAAAATAAAGGCCTTTCATATAAATTTAGGGACCCAGCTGCACATATTTGCATGAGGAAAACCTAAGTACATTATAAATAAAAAAAATGAGAAAAAATGAAAAATCTATGTTTTAGTGTGAACAGTCTAGTTTTTATAAAAGATTTGATTTTTGAAAAAATCAACAAGGAAGAATTTAGTTAAAATTAAAATGAGAAGTTCTAGAAAAGATCTATAGACAAGTAAAGAGAAGAACAAATTTTAAATGCATAATAATATCAAAGTATGGTTATGGAAGCTCTGAAAGAAAGAAATGGATCAAATGATTGCCAAAAAGGCCAAATGGGCCAAACTTTGAAAAGAAAGTTCTTATAACTGAAATTAGACTTGCATCATTTTTGTGCTTTTAGTTCTTAATGTGCATTCTACTGCATTGGAGACATGCTTGCTTTTAAAACTTTTTTTTCTTTGATGGAATGCTTGAAGCAACTTTATTAAGAAAAAATTACAAGCAACTAAGTGATTGATCCACAATCACAGTCCTCCTTGTGTAAAGTAATAAAGAAAGGAGGGACCTTATTACTACTTAAGTCATCCCAAAAGAAATCTAAACAACGAGCATAGTTAGCACAAAAATCAGCTAGCTTATTACATTTCCTATTAACATAATGAAATAAAACTTGATTAAATTCAGTGAGAAAAGAAAAATCCTCTATCTTTGGACCTCCTTCTTTGACAGGCTCCTTATTAAAGATCTTCTGAACAAAAGCAATAACATTCTGATTATCCCCCTCAATGATAATCCCTTTGTACTCATACATCCAGTCTAGGACGAACTTCTTAACTAACAAGATTGCAAAAAGCTCCATCTGTGCTGAATCCCAATGCAAACAATTCACACCAAAGGCACACAAAAATCTGCCTCTTTGATCCTTGAAGACACCTCCAACACCAGCATTGTAATTGCTTCCTAAAGAAGCATTAATGTTAAGTTTAATCCATTCAGGGGGAGGAGGATACCAATAAGAAGACAGCTGCGAGAGTTGGTTGGTATCCCATTATTCCAAACTTCCTTTGAAAGATGCCTCATCCATACTAATTGCATTAGGTGCAATGATTGTGAAGCTATCCTCCATTCCACCATGCATTACCTTGTTTCTACTCTTCCAGCTTAAGAAAACTGCAGAGCAATATACATTCCCAATGAAAGGTCTTGAGTCTGCCAAGCTTCTCAAACCCTAAAAACAATCTTGAATAGATGAAAAAATCGGGATCGTGAACCCCCAACTCCTAAGAATATTGAAAACTTGCAACAACTTCATACAACTAACCGCAATATGCTCAGCATTCTCCTCAACCTAACACCCTTTAGGACATTCATTATTCCTAGACAGCCTTCTAAACATCAAAAACTCATTTGAAGGAATAGCATTAATAGATAGTCTCCACCAAAATAAGTCTACCCGAGGCCTAAGCTTCAGACCTCTTCTCCAACGCCAATGGAGATCTTCAACTCCATTCGCATTCAATTTCTAAAATATTAAAGCAGATAGAGATTTACCTGAACATTTGAATTTGAGTTCCATCTGATCCCCATCTTGATCAGGAAAGATAGGAATACCCTTTATGTAAAACCCGCAAAAAATGCCGTTTTAGACCTTGCACGCTTTTCGATGCGTCGCATCGAGTTTTAAGTGAATTTTTTCAAAGTTGTCGGAATTCGGCGCAATAAATTTTATAAATAGTGCACAGAATTCTGAGCGAATCGATGTATAGAACCTATATTGGATTTTAAGTATTTTGGGAGTTAATATTTTCGGAAAGCTCTTTATGACAACTTTGCCCTTGATGTCATTTGAATAGGGATGAGTTTTAAGTAAGGGCTTTTAGGTAATTAGGCTTTTAATAAAAGGATCTCACTATAAATACGGGACCGAATGTTTCGGTCCCCATTCTTGCTTGCGGCCCGAACCGAACGAGAGAAGGAGGGGCATCGGGTAGGAGGCGACTCCGGCGATCCTAGAGGCGGTTACCGGTGACATTTTGCGAGGGGAATTGAAGGGAACTTATGAGGAAGGCTAGGGTAAGTTGTTTTCTTGAGCTCTTCTTTCCATTGAGTTTTCTCTAAGGGAAGAAATTAGGGTTTTGAGAAAAACTTAAGTTTTCTTTGAGATAAGTTTAGGGAAGGGTAAGGGGATGTTTTTAAACCCAAATATGAGTTTTTTTCAAGAAAAATGTGAATTTTGGAAATTAGGGTTTCTCTCAATTTTGTTTTTCTTTGGAGATGCTTTCACAAAAGTAGTTCCTAATGGCATAAGAGTCTCTAATTGAAAATTAATTTAAGGTTGTGGAAATTTTAAGTTTCAAAATTTAGGGTTTTTCCCTAATCATGGAATTTTTTATCCTTATGGTTCTAAATGGTTTTGGGAAGGGTTTTAGTGACAAAATTAGGGCTTTTACTTGAAATACAAGCTTTTCTAAATTTTGATTTAATATAATTTGAAAATTAATTATATTTTAATTATTATTTGAGTGTAGGGAGAGATGTTTGCATGCATAAAATCTAAAATTTATGACTAAATCCTATTTGAGAGAATGGGAATGAGGGATGTCTTGAAATGGTAGGAGGGGTTTAAATAAAAAAATGGGCATGACATAGGGTTGAGTTCTTTATTAATATATATTAAGGATTTAGGAAGTTTATATGGGGACTAATGATATTTACACGTTATGTTTGTCTCTTGTAGATATTGATTGCTTAAGAGGAAAGGGGCGTAAGGACTTTTGGAGGATCGCATTGTGGTGAGGTAGGTGAAATAGACTTCTTTTAAATTTAGAAAAGCTCTTTACATGAAATACATAGAAATGACATTCTTTTTTTAATGCTCTTTATGATATCATTATGACTAGTATGTTTCCTTATATAAGCTCATGATCACTTGATGTAAAAGTAAAGTCATTTTATGCAATATTAGAACTCAATGATGAATTTCATGCTTCTTTCTTTACATATACTACACATGTTTTCTCTTCACATGTAATTATACATATGATTATAGCAAACATGTATTTCCATATGAAAACATACACTTGAATATTTTACATAAGCCTCTCCTATGAATATGTAAGAATTATGTGCATGTTCATGTTGATGCGGAAGTATCAAATGATAAATGAGCTCTTTTGAGCAATGATAATGATGCTTTTTTGAGCCAAATGGTAAAGGGGATTCTTTTGAACCAAATGGTAAAGGAATGACCAATTTTATATACCTGATCAGTACAAATGATACTTATGAGACGAGTGTTATATATAAATATTAAGATATTATGAACATCGCATCTTTATGTTATATGCATATGAGGCATGAATGTTTTAAGAGGAAGAATTGAAAGATTATGAATGAATGAGACCTTAAAGGTTGAAGTAAAGACATGTATCACCTTAGACAAATATAGTAATATGTTGATTATTCTTTTATTGAGATATAAAAACATGTTGTAGTTTCTTCTCTTGTATCTAAATATATTTGAATGTCATTTATACCTATTGAGTTGTGACTCACCCTTGTTGTGGAACACTTTTTAGGAGGATCTGGTAAAGGATAATGGGTTTAGGGAGACGACGGGCGACAGGTTTTGTCTTTTGTTTTTGATGTTTTGAATAGAAGCATTAGAGATGAAATGTAAGGGAATGATTTTGGACACCTTTTATATTTTGTAAGCTTTATGTTAGAATGGTTTTATTGATGGATGCATAGAAAGAAAATTTTCTCTTGCTTTTATTTTTGGTGGCTCTTTCTTATGATATGAAGATGTTGTGTATGTTGAAATGCGAAAGTTATTATTTTTTACTGTTTGACTTTCGTTCCCGCCTCGCACTTGTGAGCTAACCGGGCCGGGTCATGACATAGGGTTGAGTTCTTTATTAACATATATTAAGGATTTAGGAAGTTTATATGGGGACTAGTGATATTTACACGTTATGTTTATCTCTTGTAGATATTGATTGCATAAGAGGAAAGGGTCGTAAGGACTTTTGATGGATCGCATTATGGTGAGGTAGGTGAAATGGACTCATTATGTTCCTCAGAAATCAGCTTATAAATAACTTGTTAGACCAGTCCACTGGACCGGTCCAGCCGGTCCAGGCGGGACCGGTTCACGGGCGGAATCGTAGAACAGGCGGAGATTTCCGCTAGAACGAGCGGCCGAC